GGAAGGTATTTTACTGGACTTTTACTGGCCTCCAAAAAGCTCCACCAGCACCTTTCCCTTTTATTGAATTACTCTTGTAATTACCAGACTGAGGAGATAGTATAGCTTTCCAAAGCCAAGGATAATTGCAGGTAAGCCCTTCAGCGGTACACCAAGAATTGGGGTATGGAGAGGTCGGGATCTGTCTCTTCTCCCACAGAGGGTGGAGTGGGATGACTGCTGAGCACTGACAGAGAAGCTTATGTCTCATAAAATGGGAAGGAAGAACTCCCGACAGAAGAAGCAGAGGCAGCCCTCATTCATTCCTGCCCTAAGCACTCCCTCTGCCCTCCGGCTGGCACCACTGAATTTTAGAGCCTACTCCTGGCTACTTTAGAGCCTCACCATCCTCCTTCTCCGGGGCCACATCCTTATCCAATCCCTTGTCGAATAACATGTTGTGAAGAGGTTCCCTTTCTCCATACAAGTCTGAAACTGATGGAAGTATTATACTCACCTTGAAGTTTGGAAACATAGTGTAAGTCTTGTGCACTGGTCCTCTACCACCAGAGTGAGCTGAGTGAATTCCTGTGTGTTTCCTCCTGATTCTGGTGGTAACTAAATCACATTTCTGTAAAATGTTTAAAGAAGATAAAAAGTATTGCAGTTGATGCTGCAGGTGTCTTCCTGAAAAGAACCTTTTTTGCTTAGAACCTCCCATCTTGGTCCTAAAGATGGATGCAGATTGGAATTTCCGTCATGAAGGAAATCTAAAGATTCTTATCATGATATGCAAGTAATTACCTCTTATCATCCTTAATGAAAAATCATCTTCTCCCATAGCAGTTCTTTGTAAGGGGTCCTAAGATAGACCTGTTAGTAGATTTTGAATCCAAAGCCCACTTCCATTGATATGTCCAAGTGACTAGTGTAGCTCAGGTGGCAACAAAGCGTCTATAGGGAATGTTTGTTGTCTGCTCTATCTCTCTGCCAACCTAAAGTTTGGGAAGGCTGCCGGTTAGTTTTTAACACAGAGGATTTAAGAGCCAATATTTAAATATTCTTACCCAAGTATTTACATAACTCTCTCTCTATAAAAGATAGTATCATTAAAAAGTTAGATATAAGAAGCTATGGGGAAAAAGTGTTCATACAGGTCTGTTAGTAGTTATATGTGTTTCTCATGAAATTCTGGAACAGAATCAAACTCCCAGTTTCATTGTGGGGTGAGATCTCAGTTTAGAAAAGAAAGAAGACTCATTACATAGAAACTATAAAAGCCACTAACTTCCAAGCTCTGGATTGCTTCCAATTTCATTTCCCCATTGCTATACCAAAGAAATAAGCAAATAGTTTTCATTCTGCTGATGGGCACAGTGATAATGAACTAATGTTGGCAAGATCTTTTGAAATGAGAATGCAGAGATTATTTAAAAAGCAAGAAACAAGACTAGAGAAAGCCCTTTTGATTGGCCAGATTTTATAATGTTACATAACATGTTTTTTGCACCAAAGGAATAGGACAGCTGACTTTAAGAAGAAGTTTGTCTTTTGGTTTTTTTTTAAGTCTTCCTGTTACTTTGATAATAGCAAAAAGCAGTCTGATGTAGCAATTACTTCAAATGTTTGAAGAGTCAAGGGTCTGGGAGAATGGGAGCCAAACAATGTATCCTCTACTCCTTTGTTTTAATCTTTCATTCAGCAACATTTACTGAATCCAGTGTGTGTCAGCAATCTTCTTGGCCATATGGGAGATATAAAGATGTCTGAGGGGAATACCTTCCACAAATGAGTTTATAACTTAGTAGAGGAGGTAAAGTATACATATACAGTTATATACAACACAAGACAGTGTCATGCAGGCTATAAGGACGTGCAAAGTATTTTCCTGGGGTGATTGGGACAGTATGTGGAGAGCTGGCCTTGGAGCTGGCCATGAACAGGACAAGATCTTCCCGGGTGAAAACATGGACAAACTAAGACAGGAGGGGGGCAGGAAACAGCCATTCAAATAATGCCACAGCAGTTAACATCAAAATGGTGAAAGATTCAACCCCTAGTAGGCCTTGAGTCTCAGGATGATGAGAGATTTAACTTCTAGCAGAACTTGAGCTTCATTATACGCCCATTGTAATACATTAACATGGTGAATAACATGACCACAGGCACCATGGCAGTCCCAAGGCTAGCCACAAAAGGTCAAAGAGTGGGAAACGGCCAGCTTCCTGGGAATCCCAGCCCCTTCCCCAGACTACTTAGAATGGTCCTTCCACTTATTAGCATATGAACCCAGCAAGCCCATAAAAACCAGCAATAGGGGGCCTTGTGGCTGCCCCTCTCTCTCCCTCTTCAGAGACGGCCCACATTCTGTCTATGGAGCGTGTACCTACTTTTAATCTGAGCACCCAACTCCCACACCTCATGGCCTTTCTCTTGCCTTTCATTGTAACTCTCTGAATAAATCTACCTTCACTCAACTGTGGCTCGCTCTTGAATTGTTTCCTGTGCGAAGCCAAGGACCCACACTTGGCAGGGCACACATCCCAGGGGCTCAACCAAAGCCTGGGACACGGCCCTCCTCACACCCTACATCTGTTTTCCTGCATCAACTACCTCTGTGAAGGCTTTTCTGACCCTCTCCCCACTCCTCTTCCCTTCCCTTCCCTGCCCCAAATAGAGGTAGATTTGTGTTCTCCTGCTGCCTTACTACATATTGTAATTTATACAGACTCTCATCATAACAATTACAGTCTAATTGTTGTTTGCAAGTCTTGTCACTCCAGGGAACTCTAAAGTCCTTTAGGACAGGAACCCCACCATTTCATGTTTCCTTTCCTAACATTTAGCAGGGTTTCTGACATAGTGTACCTACTCAGTAAATACTTGAGGGAGAAAGGAATTAAATTACAGAATACATTCAGGGATCAGTGAGTACTACAGTTTGGCTAGAATCAAAGATTCATGAAGGAGAGCAGTAGGAATTAAAGCTACAAGAAGAGGTTGGAAAGTAGGTCTGAAACTATTAAGTGTTGGTTGAGTAAATGGAACAGTGGAAACTCTTCTACGCCACTGGTGCAACCATTCAGGGGAACAACTTATTAACATCTGATAAAGTGAAAGTTGCTCATATCTTGGACCCAGAAATTCCCATTCTAGAGAAACTCTTGCTCATGTTTACAAGAAGACAGATATAAAATATTCATAGCAAAAAGTTGGGAACAAACTCAAGGTCCATCAGCAGGAGAATGGATGAATAACTATAGATACACCAATAATAAATAACTATAGCATTAATTATATCTATGTTATATATATCATATTAATATGAGTTATATAAAATAATAATAAATAATTACAGATACATCAACATGGGTGAATAGTATAGATTATAGATATAAGTCAGGGGAGAAAAAAACCCAAGACTGCAGAAATATTCCTATGTTACCTTTTATATAAAGATTAAAATACTGTAAAACAGTATTATGTATTCCTTAGGGATATATATATATATATATATAATACACACACACACACACACACACAAATGCCTAGACAGGATGGATATCAAATTCAAGACAGTAGGAAAGGAGATGTGATTGGGGAAGTTTATAGAAGGCCCTCAATTCTATTGACCATGTTTCATTTCTTAAATTTGATGCAGGGCGTATGGGTGTTTTGTTGTGTTCTTTTTTAAAATAGTCTGTATATCTTAAATATTGCATAAACATCTTATTTTAAAGTTAGTTGGATCCATATTGTGGCAGGGCTAGAATACCACAGTAAGGAGTTTAGATACTGTTTGGCAGTTAACAGAGAACTCTCACAGGCTCTTGAGCAGGTAAGAGATATCCTCACAGGTGTGCTTCGAGTCAGCTTAGACTAATGCTGTGTAAGATACTGGGCAAACTCACAAAGGTGTTAATGCTGTGTTGGTAGATATAATTGAGATGGATTCCTTGTCTGTCCTCTAGTTTTCTGACCTACACTATTTCTTTAAATCCTGAATAGCCTTTCTCCATTCTTAAAAGTATGTCTTTTTTTTTTTAATCAGTTGATTCCAGATGCTTCTGTCAACTCTTGATATTCCTTTCTCATTTTATTTGTTTTTATAAAGTCCCCTCAATACTCACTCTGTCCAATTTTCCTGTTCTGGCCTCCTGACCATTTATTATGTTATTCTTTATTTGGGAATATCTCATTTCCAGCCTTTTTACATTTTTCCTAAATTTACCTCTGCTACAAAGTTTTCTTGGACTAACTGAAAACCTTCAATTAAAAATTTCCAAGATGTAAAGAAGATGTGATACACACACACATCAGCAACACACACTGGAATATTACTTAGCCATAAAAAAGAATGAAATAATGCCATGTGCAGCAATATGGATGGACTTAGAGATTATTGTATTAAGTGAAGTAAATCAGAGAGAGAGAAAGACAAATATCATATGATGTCATTTATATGTAGAACTAAAAAAAATACAAGGTTAGTTTATAAACCAGAAATAGACTCCCAGACATAGAAAACAAACTGTGGTTAGCAGGGAGGAAATGTGATGGTTGGGGAGAAGGATAAGAGTTTGGGATTAACAGATATACATTACTATACATAAAATAGATAAACAACAAGGACCTACTATATGGCACAGAGAACTATATTCAATTCCTTACAATGAGCTGTAATGGAAAAAAACTGAAAAAATATATATGTACGTATGTATATGTATAACTGAATTATTTTGCTGTACACCTGAAACTAACATTGTAACTTGACTATACTTCAATAAAAAATAAGAATAAAAAAATTCCAAGATAAATATGTTTGCAACACAATCTATCCTACACATAGGACATTTATCCTACAATAATAGCTGACTAAATGGCTGAGTATGTGCCAGGCATTGTTCTAAACACTTTATATGTATTATCTCATTTAATCCTCATAACAAATCTATATGTGCTGTTATGATCTTCATTCCACAGATAAAGAAACTGACCCAAAGAGAAGTTAAATAACTTACTCAAGAATTCTCTGCTGGAAGTCAGTGCTGGAGCTTGGAGTCAAACCCGGGGAGCCTGGCTCCAGAGCCCACATGCTGAATTCCACCTCATTGAGCTGCTTCCCCATGTCAATAAAGATATCCCCAAGTGGGAAGCAAATGTAGGCTGTCCTGCGGGGTCTAGGTTCAGTTAAAGGCAGAGTTATTCTATCAGTCTGGGTCCATTTAGGAGACAGACAGAAATTACACAGGAGTACACAAAAAATTGGAGCTAAGTAGAATATTTACATACCGAAGGTTAGACTCCACAGTCCCTTCTCCTCTTTCAGCTTGTAAAATGCTGGCAGTCAGGCTGAACTATTCAGGCAGGAAATTGAAGGATGCTTCTTTGCAGACTCTAACAGCCTTAAAGGAAAACTCTGTGATATTGAGAATGACTCAAAGAAACAATCCAGTATGGAAGACAGAGATCTGCTTGCACTGAATGTGCTGTCACAGCCTCAGAGCTGCTGCTTGGCTTTTTAGTGCCCTGCTATTGTACATGAACAGACAGCTAAGGATCTTCGGTTACTGGTGGAAACACATCTGCCAAAAGAAAAAACAGGAGAAAGAAAAAACCTGGAGGATAAGAAACTATGCAAAGAGAAGGGAAATATTCCCTCAAATTATGATTAATATTCTTAAAGGAATAAGAGAAAATATTGCATCCATGGAACAAGATAAGATGCAATAAAAAGGAAAATTCCAAAAGAACTTTCAGAAATTGAAGTATGATAGCAGATCTTAAAAACTCAGTAGAAGGTTGTAGGGTGAAGTTGAGGAAACCACCTAGAAAAATCAAACAAGAGTAAAAGATGTGGAAAATAAAAGAGAAAGTTTTTTTTTTTAATTGAGGGTCAATTCTGGAGATTCTAGAGTGAGAAGAAAGAAAATGGAAGGGGGAGGAAATAATTAATAAAAAAACATTTATCAGAACTGAATGACAAACATTTCTAGACTGAAAGAGTGCACCAAATGTCCTTTATGCTGGACAAAATGGTTTCATTCCAAGGTACAGAATCATGAAATTTTGGAAAACTGAGGACAAAGAGACTATCTTAAGAACACTATTTTTTCATGAGACTAACAGAGGATGAGTTTCTTCAGAATAAGGAGAAACCAAGAAAGAGGGACACAAAGGATCCAGGAGCAGGGAATCCAACCGAGGAGAAAAGAAAAGGGAATCTCTGGAAGAATGCTGAAGAGAATTCCTGGGACAAGAGCTCTGCAGCAGCTTAGAGACCAACCAGGCAGGGTTGGAGCAGGTGAGAGGGCTCCAGGGCTGAGTTCTTCAAGAAGATGAAATTGATAGAATATCCAGTGGGACCAAATGTATTGAGAAGAGACATAGACAATTGGTGGATAGGTTGGGTTGAGTTAATGATTAAGTAAGTAATAGAAAGCTAAAAGAAAATAAAATGTAATCATTAGGTCCAGAGAAAATAAAATGCTGTGCAAGAAAGAAATCGTGGATATATGACATGGCTCATGTGTGAGCAGTATTTACACAGTCATAGTAATATAAACACTGAATTACACAAAAATTACAACACAACTGTTTTGGGAGGACAGGGAAAGGGAACCCTGCCCATGTGTATGCAAATAAGTGAGAACGTGATGGTGGTGATGAGGGTGAAGAAGGTGAAATTTTCATCTTCTATGGTGGGAAGTCCATAAATAATGTATTTTAAAAATCTAAAAATCAACAAGTAGCCATATAAGCATGTCATTTAGAGATACAGAGGTAAATGCCAAAAGAGTCAGCTAAAAAGAATTGAAAATGGTTACCTCTGAGGAGTAGAAAATGGTGAGGAGAGGTGGATGATGTACTGCTATTTTCAAAACAAGTCTTATAAAACTATTTGACTCTTTATGTACAAGTATAATTTACGTATAAATTAAAAACAAAATTCAAAGAAACTATAAGAGACTTTTCAAGTGAACAGAGCCCATTGGGAGATTTCCCCAATACTGCTCCCCGACCAATCTTTTATTACAATATTGTCTGATCTCATATCTCACCAACCTCCCCCTAATACCACCGCCACCTCAACAAACCAGGTACTAAGAGAGGAAAGGGAGATGCTGGTTGAGTCTGGGATCTGCTCTGCCAGGAGCTTGTTAGAAGCCCTGGGTCATCTTTAGTCCATTATCAGTAGATAACTTCTCCCTAAACCGTTTAAAGGTTTTCTACTGAAATTACAAATATCAAAATTCAGATGGTCTCTCCTAATGTATTTCCTCTTCGTTACATTTCTCTAACTATCTTGACTCCAACACCCTTGATTCTAAATGCACCTTCTATTCCTTTCTTTAGGTTGTCTTTCTTTAGAGGCAGAGATGGCCTGCTTTTGGCAAATATTCACACTTGCCAAGGGTAACAGACTATTTCTGCTATCCTTTCACCTCATTCTATTGCCTTCACCATGGGTGAAAGACAGAGGTACTATTAGCTATGGTTACTTTTTGTATAGGACATTACCCGTAACCTACCAGATTCTAGAGTATTTTTTCTTTTCACTGGCTAGTCTTCTGGCTCTGATTCTAAAGTTGGTCTATGACATAAATTAGGGAACTTTTTGGAGGACACAGTTAAGTGACCCTGGTAGATCAGGTGAGCTCATCCATTCACTGAACAGTACTCAGGGGAGAAGACTACCTTATTTTAGATCAGTTCAAAAGCAAATAAAACATTTCACACTGTCCTTGGCTCTGACCTAGACAACCCTCTCATCTGTGACAGAGAAGGTATACTTACTCTGTTTTCAATCAAACAAAATTAGAAGAGGGATTTAATATCTTGGAGGAATGAATTGAGGATTCAAAAAGTTCTCAACTGGTTGCAAAGTTAGGATTAACAAATTAATGAAATTTACCAGGGATACTTTTAAAGTCCCATATTTATGTTTAAAATATTACTTTTCACAAACATAGCATGTGGAAGATTTAGCTTAACAGTTCAAGTGAAAAAGGCTATGAGCATTGACAAATTGCAAGCTTAGCTAGTTGACAGTAGGAAGTGGCTGCAGAGTGACTACCAAAAAAATAAATGTTTCTCTTTCTACCTCCCTGAGAACATGGGCAAGTTGTTTTATGCTCTAGTAATCAACTCACCAGTAAATATTTATTGAGGATCTGCTAGATGTTTAGTATGAGGAAAGCCCCAAGGCAGAGAATAAGGGGAAGAACTTAATCTTTCAACAGGTTGACAGTCAATATACATGTAGGAAATGAGAACAGTGATGATAATTTATATTTGAATAGTGCTTGAATTTCTCATGTCCAATCATTTATATCATCTCTTTTGACTTTTATCTGCCCTATGAGGTGGTAAGTCAAATACAGTCACCATTTTCAAGATAAGAGGCTCAATTAAGTAAATCACTGATTCTCAAATATTTTGCTCTCTGGACCACTTTACACTTTAAAAATTATTAAAGTACCTCACACCATATACAAAGATTAAACCAAAATGGATCAAAGATCTAACTATAAGAGCTAAGCTATAAAACTCTTAAAATAAGACATAGTGTAAATCTTTGGGATCTTGAATCAAGCAATCATTTCTTAGATATTGACATCAAAAGCATAAGCAACAAAAGAAAAAATTAATTGAACTTCATCAAAATTTTAAAATTTATACCATCAAGATACTACCAAGAAAGTGGAACAACAACCCACATAATGAGAGAAATACAGTTGACCCTTGAACAATATGAATTTGAACTGCATGGGTCCACTTTTATACTTTTTTTTTTTCAATATGTTTGGCCAACCATAATCAGCTGATTGATTCCACAGATGCAGAACCCAGAGATATGGAACCTGCAGTTACCGAGGGATGACTGTATTTGCAAATTGTATATCTGATAAAAGACTGGTATCCAGAGTATATAAAGAACTGTTATAATTCAATAATCAAAAATAATAATCCACTTTTTAAATAGTCACAAAGGATTGCATATTGTATGATTATTTATATTCATACAATATGTGAAATGTCCCAAATAGAAACATCTATAGAGACAGAAAGTGAAATAGTGAGTGGTTGCCTAGGACTAAAATAGTGAGTGGGGGAAGGGGGTAACTGGAAGGATATGAGTAATGAGTACTAGTGAGTAGCGCGTTCTTTTTTTTGGAAAAATATGTATTTTTTCAGTATAGTTGATTTTCAGTATTATATTACTGTCAGGTGTACAGTATAATGATTCAAAATTTTTGTAGATTTTAGTCCATTTATAGTTATTTAAAATATCAGCTATATTCCCCATGCTGTACAATATATCATTGTGGCTTATTTATTTGCTACATAGTAGTTTGTACCTATTAATGGGTAGGGAGCTCTTTTGGGGGCATTGAAAATGTTTTAAAATTGATTGTGATGATGGTTGCACAACCCTGAATACATTAAAAACCATTGAACTACACAGTTTAAATAGGTGAATTTTATGATATGTGAGTTATATCTCAATAAAGCTGTTATTAAAATTATTATAAATAATGCTGCTATTAATAGCAGGATATATGTATCTTTTTGAATTAATGTTTTTGTTTTTCTCAGATATATACCCAGGAGTGGAATTGCTGGGTCATACAGTAGTTCTTTTTTTGGAGTTTTAAGAAACCTCCATATTGTTTTCCATAGTGGCTGCACCAGTTTACATTCCCACCAACAGTGTACAAGGGTTCCCTTTTCTCCAAAAACAAGTACTATGCATAAAATAGATAGGCAAAAAGGATATATTGTAAAGCGCAGGGAATTACAGCCATTATCTTGCAATAACTTTTAATGGAGTATAACCTATAAAAATACTAAATCACTGTGCTGTACACCTGAAACTAATACAATATTGTAAGCCAACTTTACTTCAATAACTAATAATAATTAAACTTCTACCAGAGGCCTAGCTGGAAATGCATTTAGTAGTTATCAGACCAATATGATCATTTTAAGCTCATTTAGTCCAGGTCATAAAGATAGCTTAAATAGATGTGCCTAAAACCATGAAGAGACGGGATATAGCTAGAAAATCAAAAGAGGCAAGTCTGACATCCATTCCATGGACTGAAAATAACAAAACATAACTCC